AGGATTATAAGGCACCCTGGCCTAGCACGCTTGCTGTGCTTAGGGCTCTGTTGTTAGGCACTCTGTTTATTTTGTTCTTGGGCACCATCTACTACCTGGTCAGAAAAACCGTAGCCCCACTGTACCCCAGTGCCTGCGTTCATGTCTTGCCCCAAAGACCCAATCCCAGAGGCTACAGGTCCTCAAGGCTGAGATTCTACCTGTGGCCCAAGCTAAAGTCCTGCCATCTCTTAGCAGAGTTTCCAAATCCTGGCCTACTTTCTAGGGTCTTCCAATATCATCTGGTGCTGAATTCCTGTCACCAAGCTCCATGTGCCTCTCAGGACACCTCTCATAATCCCCCCAAACCATATACAGCCTACCAGTGAGGAGCACAGGCTCACTAGACAGCCTAGGTATGAAGCTTGGCTTTGCCACTTGGTAGCTGTGTGACCTTAGCCAAACATTCCACCCACCAAGCCTCAATTCCTGCATCTATAACAGCCCCTACTATTATATGCAGGGTTGTAATGAGTATTGAGTGAGGTGATACACTTACAGCCAAGCACAGTGCTTAGACACAGCAAGGGTTCAATAAATGTTGGGGACCAGTTCAGAAGCTGTTCTATGTCTGAATGCTCATACATGTGAACAAAGCTCCATGCCAAAGCAAACGTGCCTCCCAGCTACCCAAGCAGTGGCACCAGGGGTCACTCATAGAGTGTCACTTTGGGCTTTGGAACAAATAGACTTGTAAGCAGCCTTTTCTCCTCTTTTCTTTTCTTTCTTTCTTTCTTTTTTTCTTTTTTTTTTTTTTTGAGACAGAATTTCACTCTTGTCACCCAGGCTGGAGTGCAATGGTGTGATCTCGGCTCACTGCAACCTCTGCCTCCCAGGTTCAAGCGATTCTCCTGCCTCAGCCTCCCAAGTAGCTGGGATTACAGGTGTGTGCCACTATGCCAGGTAATTTTGTATTTTTAGTAGAGATGGGGTTTCACCATGTTGGCCAGGCTGGTCTTGAACTCCTGACCTCAGGTGATCCACCCGCCTTGGCCTCCCAAAGTGCTGGGATTAGAGGCATGAGCCATCACACCTGGCCAAAGCAGCCTTTTCAGAACTCAACTTTGAATAATAATAATAATAATAATAGCAAATACACAGTACTCACTGTGAGCTGGACCCTGTGCTGATAAGGGCATTACTCATTTGATTCCTTCCATAACAAGGTTGGTACTTTATTACCCCCACTTTACAGATGAGGAAACCAAGGGCCAAGGTCACAGGACTAATAACTGGCAGAATTTGGATCCCAGGCAGCCCAGCTACAGAATCTATGTACTTAGCTAATGTGTTATGCTCCCTCTCTCTCTCTGTTTTCTTTTTTTCTTTTTTTTTTTTTTTTGAGACTGAGTCTCGCTCTGTCACCCAGGCTGGAGTGCAGTGGTGTGATCTCGGGTCACTGCAAGCTCCGCCTCCTGGGTTCACGCCATTCTCCTGCTTCAGACTCCCGAGTAGCTGGGACTACAGGTGCCCGCCACCACGCCCAGCTAATTTTTGTTGTTGTTGTTGTTGTTGTATTTTTAGTAGAGACGGGGTCTCACCGTGTTAGCCAGGATGCTCTTGATCTCCTGATCTCGTGATCCACCTGCCTCAGCCTCCCAAAGTGCTGGGATTACAGGCGTGAGCCACCGCACCCAGCCACTCCCTCTCTTGAGTAGTCTAAATTAATTATTAAAAAGCAAAGGGGGAAACAAGCAAAAAGTTAAAAACAGAGAAATGTTTTAAGCAGATAGCATTGGCACCAGGATTCTTGCAAGTGAACTCAAGAAGCTCACTTCTGGCTAGGTTTAAACCATGGTGTATTTAATAATCAAAGTAATTGCTATTCCTTCCCTCCCCTTTTCTCTCCTTGTAGGCCACTGGCCCAGATGCTTTTTCTTGTTCCTGTACCTTGGACTCCTTCACTTATCTTTCCGCTGAGTTGGACACGTCAGCCCAGGCCCATTCTCTGTTACCTTCCCACCCAATCAGTCCCCTCCCTTCTCTGTGGTTGTTTGGGCTGGATCCAGTCATATCTCAAGATGGGGACACCTTGTTGGTAGTTGAACATTTTTTGATTAGTGAACCCTTTCTTCAGAAAAAGTACTCTCACCCACATGTATAGATGTTAGATTTACCTAAAGCATGGTATGCCTATGGCACAAATGACTTCAGATTATTTTTCCAGCAACCTTAAATCAAGGGATACTGCATTAGCCATGCAATGCTTATTTAATGAGGTGGAAATGGTTGTGTCTTCCACTCTGCACAATACCTAACCCCTGGCAGCTAGCACACAGGCTGAGTGTCAGAGGCGTTCGAACCAGAGCAACTCCATCTTGAGTGAGGGCTAGGAAAATGAGGCTGGGACCTGCTGGGCTGCATTCCCAGAAAGTTAGGCATTCCTAGACTCCAGACGTTTACAGTTAAGGAACTAGATCGATAATGTTTCCCACACAGACCCAGACTTGGGGGTGTCCAGATAGCCCGATATTTTGAGAACAAAGGCATTCCTAATTTTGCTTTAAAGATAATAATATGGATTCTTGCAAAATATAGTAATTAAGAAAATTAGGCCAGGTGCAGTGGCTCACGCCTGTAATCCCAGCACTTTGGGAGGCCGGATGGATCACCTGATGTCGGGAGTTGGAGACCAGCCTGAGCAACACGGAGAAACCCCGTCTTTAATAAAAAATACAAAATTAGCCAGGCATGGTGCCTCATGCGTGTAATCTCAGCTACTCGGGAGGCTGAGGCAGGAGAATCGCTTGAACCTGGGAGGCGGAGGTTGCAGTGAGCTGAGATTGTGCCATTGCACTCCAGCCTGGGCAACAAGAGCGAAACTCTGTCTCCAAAAAAAAAAAAAGAAAAAGAAAATTAACCCTTTATCACAAGCCCTTGTAGCAGAGCACATCTCCCTATGATCTTTTTAAAATCCTATATATATGAGCATGGTACCTAGGATGGACGTGTTCCTCCTCTTGCTTTCGGGAACACCCTACTCTGTCAATGGAGTAGCTGTGCTTTCACCACTTTACTTTCCTAATAAAAAGAAAGTAAGTGCTTTTGCTTTGCACTGCGGACTCGCCCTGACTTCTTTCTTGCTTGAGATCCAAGAACCCTCTCTTGGGGTCTGGATCGCTTTCCTGTAACAGCAGTCCCAAGATCCTTAATAGTTTATGTGCAGTCCACAGAATGCATGTCACCGAAGTGAGCAGCTGCACTGTCCCGGGATGAGATGTCCCTTGGATGTAGATACAGCATATGGATGTCCGCCCACTATTTCCACTGAATATGTTATCATGGCTGGTGCTACTCACCTGTGAAGTCAAACCACTTAACCAGATATGGCTTCCTTGATCCTTTGCAGAACCAGTCAAGTCATATGTAAACAGCAGATTTGAGAGAGAGTTTAAAAGAAACTCATTGTATTTTCTCTTAACGTTTTGCATACTAACTTTGCTTTGGATTACATACTTCATTTGCAAACCCATTTATTCACACTAACAAAGGCCGGGGCAACAGAAGAAAATCTCTCTGAGTCCTTCTGCCAACAGCAAATTGGTGATCTTGCCTTCAGATCTACATCTCAAGAGGGGACTTTCCTCGGAAGCCCTCAAAGACCAACACAAAGAAAACAAAGGAAAAGGGAATTTGTGACTGTGAATCAGAGTCTCCACCAAAATCCTCAGTCACCCACACTGACAAACAGCTCCGGTAAACTGCTGGCCACCCTTCACTAGACACCACTTCCCAAAGCAAGGCCCACTTCTTTCAGCCCTGATGCCACTGCTGCTGGCTCATAGTTACACAGAGCTGGCGGAGGGGCAGCCTGGCTCGCCCTCAGCTGGGATGCTCGCATCCTCCCACTGGGTCGGGGAGCTAACTCGTAAACAATCGCATCCCTGTAGAGAATGAAAGGAAAAGTACCGGTCACCAGTGCAGCAAGGAGGGAGGCAAATGGGGGTGGCGGTGGCGTGGGTGGATGTAACATAGCTAGAGAATCATGGAGTGTTGGAATTCTGCTGACGCAGAATGAGCCCTTGGGCCTGAGAGGGGTCTCCCTTGGGTCTCTGAAAAGTGGGTACTTGACTAAATGCCTGAAATTTCCATCCCAGTATCTGGAAGGCTGAATTTCTGAAGTGCTCCTCTGCAGCAGCCTTGCATACCTTTGGCATGTAATTGCGATGTGGGTGTGGATAGTGTATGTGCCAGAGAATCTGCCCATTCTGACTCCTTCTCTCCTGGTGCCCATCAGAGGGGTACTGAAACGAGGATGTGATATTCCAAGATCAGAAGGGAAGGAAAGAAGTAATCCGAGTGACCATGGGGCCATGGGAATACCACCCTGCCAGAACCCTGAGCGGACATGCCCAGATAATCCTAAACTTCAGCCTGACTTTTATATCAAAAGGTTAATAAAATCTAAGCTGCCCACCATGTGGACAGCTTTTCCAAGGCAGCTGAATATCCAGGCTTCCCAAGAGAGAGCTGGTGTGACACAGCAAGATAATGCTAGCCACTCACCACGGCCAGACTCACCGCAGCTTTCTGCTTCTGCCGAACCACAGGGGCCGCATCCAGCACTTTAGTAAATGAGAAATGCCTGCCCCGTCCAGCCCTGATTCAGGGCCAGTGTCAGGCGGGCACTGGAGGAATGGAGATAATGCGGCGGCATGGTGCATTCGTATTTTTGCAGTCTCTAAGCTAGAAGTGCTATTTTTACATGTCTGTGACATCAGCACGCCCTTCCCCCAGGGCAGTCTGCACCACGGTTTAAACCCAGCCAAAGGTGAGCTTCTTGAGATTCCCTTGCAGGAGTCCTGGTTCCAGTGCTATCTGCTTTAAAACATTTTCTTTCTTCTCCAAGTAGCATTACATTTGCACTTGGACACACACACACACATAACACACACACACACACACACGACCTCAGCTACAACCTGCTCTCTGTTTCCCAGATCAGATGCCCTGATTCTTACCTAAAGAGCTTGTAGGCCAAGGGCTGTACCTCTCTCCACACTGGCTCAGTGCTGTCCCAGGGGAAGCAGAATCCACTTGGTGTCTTCTGCTCTGTGTTTGTCACTGTCACTGTGCTGCAGCCGCCGCCCCAGCAGCCCCAAGCCGGCTCTCTGAACCTCCAGGCTACTGCAGCTCTGAGTGGGGAGAGGGACGGGCCGTGGCATGCACATCAGGTTGCTGGCCCGCCTCCAGATACCATGCCACAGAGCTGGCTACCCGTCCCTAGGGCTGTGTGGGAAATCGAGGTGGGGGGGCGGGGGCAGGCTGGGAGAGCCAAGAATGTCAGCCTCGAGGTCTATCTCCGGTCCTTGTTTATCAGCAGAGGGGACCTGCCTTTAGACAACCGCCCACCCCCACCTCACCCGCAGGGATGCACACAGCTCTAAGCAACCCCTACTCTGGACAGCCAGCAGCAGGCCCAGGAACACAGAGCCATTGGCCAGCCAGGAGGGAGGTAGAGACAGAAGACGGTGGCAGCAGCTACCCTGGGTGTTATTTTAACGTGGTTTGTCTTGGGGCAAATGTCTGAGCCGAATGGACTTCTGGCCCGTCTGAGCAGAATCCTGTTTATTTTGAGGCCTGAGTCGCCAGGGAAACAGCAGGTCGTGGCTCGGAGACTCTCCTCTGGAATCAGAAGGCTGCTGGATGAAAGGGAGGCCTTTTCTGTTCTGTCATCTGGCATCCTTGCATGGGGTGTAGGTGTCTGTGTGTGGCAACGTGTATGTGTGCATGTGTGTGTCTGTCTGTGCCATCCCCAGAGCCAAGCCCTACAAATGGCATTTTGCAAAGTCAATCGAGGCAAAAGCCATCCAGGTTGGGACTGTGGAGGGGCTGCAGAGGGGGCAGCTCTGTCCTCCCTCTCCACTGTTCAAGCCTGTTCCCGTTGGATGAGGTGAATCCTCAGGTGAGCTCAACTTCAGGGGTGGGAAATTCTTCAATGGGCCATGGACATCCTCTTCAGATTTCTGGCCAGGACAGGGTAAGGAAGGGAGGGAGCTGTCTGGACAAATAATTCTTTGGCTAGAAGGTGGGGAATAAGGTGGACTGAAAGGATATGGATCAAGAGCTGTCTCTGAACCAAATGTAAACATGATTAATAGTTTCCAATAATTGAAGAGTCGCTCCTGCTTATGCAGGCGTTTGAGCCCAGGAGGCATGAGTGAGTGAGTGTGTGTGTGCGCGTGTGTGTGCACGCACGTGTGAGCTTCCATGTATGTACACAAGCCTGCCCACCTGATGATTCAGGTAGAGAGGTACAGATCGACCTGTCAGAACTAGAAATATGCTCCCCAGCCTCTACCTCCTGTGGGTGTTGCTTAGGTGTAGGGAGGATGGAAGTGCAGTCCGTTCCCCATATTCCCCACAGAGCATGGGGGTATGGGAAGACATTCATGTGCCTTCTGAAGGGATGAGCCTTGGAGAAGGAGCTCGTGTCCTGTAAAGAGCTAGAGGCTCAATCATCACAGAACTCCAATCACGGATAAGCAGCAGCTCCCAAAAGGGACTCGAATGTACAGAAAATGTTGATTTCTTGAGACCCTCTTAACTGGAACCCTCATGAACTACCACTTCTACACATGCAAAGGATACTGATAATTTGCTTTAAAACATAATAATCTTCCTGAGTATCTGCAAGCTTCCAGAGGACCTTCTGAATCATTAAAAAAAAATTTCGGACAATGGATTTCCAAGTATTAAAGAATCATTATTTTAGATGTAGTATGCATGTTAACCCTTTTTAACTACGTGAAATGATAGACTTGAAAGTTAGAAAATACCCAAAAAACCCTAAGGACAGAGATGCAGACTCAGAGACTCACTCAGGTGGTACCCTTAGTTAAAGTCCTCGTTGTGACTAAAACCAGGTCTCCCTGCTTTAGGTTAACCCCGGGTTAACCTGCCTGCACTGTGTGGTTGGCCATTGTTGGGCAATTCAGCCCAAGGGCTCCAGATTCCTTCCCTTCTAGTGGAAATTAATAAGACTTTCCTACTCATATCTTCCCTGCAAACTCACAGGATTATCATGACAATCAAATGTGTCCAAGTGTGTTTGAGCACCTTGAACGCGGGAAATACAAATGCAAGTCATTATTTTAGTTTGTTTGATTTCTCCATTGTGTCCAGTTATGAAACCCTGTTTAAACACACACACTCACACAGACACACACACACACACACACAGCTTTTAGGCAAATATAATCCCTAGCTACTGACATATGCTAATTTATCTACTGCATAGTGGGTGTCTGGCAATATTACTGTCCAAATACTGGGAAATAATCCTCAGTTCGCTAAGGTATTTACTGTAATATAATTCCCCCCAATGTTGAAATTTTTTGAAATTTCATTTTAATATCCTTCAATTTCTACATTTATTTCAACTTCTGTTAGTATCTAGATTTACCTTTTTAATAACATCCATTGAGATGTTTCCCAGTCCAGAGACATGCCCACGTGAATGCTTTTCAGCCCCACTGTTATTTAGAGTAGGAAGGGACTTTGCCATGACCTAGTCGAAAAGTCTGGTCTCAGAATAGCCCTCCAGCTCTGTGCCTGGAAATAGTCGGTGGAAATAATAGCCGTCGAAGCTGCTTATTAAGCATCCACAATATGCTAGATTGTATGCAGAACATGTAACAGAAATCATGTCTTCCTCCAGAGCTCTTCCACCACTTTAAAAGCCATTTCTGTCCTGATAAAACTTTGTAAGAGAGGCTGCTAGTACTGCAGAGGGGTCCTCTGAGAAAGGAAGGAAATGACAGGTTTGGAGAACCAAAAAAATCCTAGAAGGTTTATCCACAGAGATGTGGGCTTGCCCCGGAGTCATCCACATCTAAAATGTTGTGGCTGTTGCCAGAGGTGAGATTTTTCCTTCCACATCCTAACAGATGGACTCAATACAGAGCACTTAGGCAGCTGCTATTACAGAAAGTGACTCTACACCTCTCCTTTAGAAGGGCGATAAAGGTAGAATGTGGTGGTTCCGTGGTTTTGCTTATTTTGTGCTCAGTGCCTCTGACAATCAGACATATAACTATCACATTTTAACTGTACCAGCATGAAAGAAGCAGAGCATTATTGAATCAACAGGGTTCAAAATGCCCCCAATATATACATTTTTGTTTTCTCTCTCTCCAGGCAGAACATAAGCCCTGGCGTCTTGTCCTTGATTCTTGAGAATGACATTCAATATTTGCTTTAAAATTTCCCCTTCATTCATCCTGTTTACACAAACGATACAGTTATATGAAACACACACCAGACACATTGCATTTTCTTTCTAATCTCATTTGACCTTGTTCAGGCACAACAAATCTTATTCAGCTGACGGGGGAAATTGGATGCTGCATGCCACTCTCTCCCTCCAGCAACACATTTCCTCTGTTTATGCCCAATCAGGCAGTTAAATGAAGGGCGCCCTGGTCTCACGGTGAAGCAAGCACCACGATGACAGAGGGCAGTGGGAAATGCAGCAGACATTCATGGGAAATTGTATTCGTTGCTCAAGGAGACTGGCCAGCCACAAACATCACCAGAGCTGCAGGACCGAAGCTGGGTCCAATGGCCCTCAAGAAGGAAGGTACCTCACTCTGATCCCACTGAAATCCAATCACAGGCGCTTGCGCCCCGCTGGTTAGCCTGACTCTTCAGCAACCTCAGGGGAGGATGCTTGGGAAGCGTCCTACCCATGCGAGCTGGGTTTCCTCTCCTCTGATATTGATTGCCTGTTGCCTATTCTACTGTGTTTTCCTCGATCCTGGCTTTTTAATTTTAAAATATTTTACCTTTACAAAAAACGAACACTCTGTGCACATGATAACACTGCACCCAAAGGTATAAAATGACCCTCACTAGCCCTCTTTTCTCCAAAGATAACCACTATTCACTTTGAATGTATGGATCCTTTCAGGAAAAAAAAACTGTCTTTGTACCCTGAATATGTGTATGCTAAAAACACACATTACTATGCACAATGTCCTGTGTAATTGTTTGTTTGTTTTTCACTTAATAATAGATATTTGCACATTGGTCTAGTTCATCCAAGCACCAAATTTCTTGCCTGATTTATTGAGGTATCTTCCTAATTGGCCTCCCTGCTCTACCCTAACCCTCTACAGTTCATTTCAGAAGGATCCTGCTAAAAGGTAAATCAGATCATGTCCCTATTTGTTCAGAACTGTCCAGGGCTTTTCCCTTGCACTAGGAACAAAAGCTAAGCTCACTACCACCACCTGCCTCTGCAAGTTCACCCCCAACATACTCATTGCTCACTGTGCTCCAGTCACCTGCTCCTCCTATGGGCCAGGCTTGGTCCTAGCTCAGGGTCTTCGTACTTCCCATTCCCTCTGCCCAGAATTATGCATTTATTTTCTGCCTCTAGGTTATTTGCCTGGCTTACTCTTTCCTGTTATTCTTGTCTCAGCTCAGGCCACCTGTACCCTGACCACCTGTTCTAAATCAGCCCCTTATCACTGTCTTTCACATCTCCCACTTTCTTTTTCCTCATAATTCTTACTACTTTCTCAAAATTATTGTATTCATAAAATGTTTACTTAGGCCAGGCGCGGTGGCTCATGCCTGTAATCCCAGCACTTTGGGAGGCCGACGCGGGTGGATCACCTGACGTCAGGAGTTCGAGACCAGCCTAGCCAACACGGTGAAAGCCCGTCTCTACTAAAAATTACAAAAATTAACCGGGCATGGTGGCTGGCATCTGTAACCCTAGCTACTCAGGAGGCCGAGGCAGGAGAATTGCTTGAACCCGGGAGGCGGAGGTTGCAGTGAGCCCGGATAGTGCCACTGCACTCCAACCTGTGCGATAGAGTGAGACTCTGTCTCAAATAAATAAAATAAAAAATAAAATAAAGTAAAAATAAATAAAATATTTACTTACTTGTCCTCTGTCTCCCCTTGCACATACACTGGAATACAAATTCCATAAGGAGAGCAGGGGCTTTGTCTTCTCACTGTTATATACTCAGTACCGAGACCAGTGGTCCTCAAGCTCGAGTGTGCACTGGAATCACCTGGCGGATTTGTTAAAATACAGATGCTGGGCCCCAACCTCAGAGTTTCTAATTCAGTAGATCTGGGGTGGGCCTACCGAAATAGAATTTATATTTCTAACAAGTTTCTAGCTGCTGCTGCTGCTGCTGGTCCAGGAACTGCATTTTGAGAGCTACCAGTCTAGACGATACCTGGCATACAGTGGGTGTTGCATATATATTTATTACGTGAACGCACGAGCCTGCACATAGGCTCTGCCACCATTTTTGTCATGGCAGTTTTGTTTTCGGTTCATCATTTATTTATATTTATGGGACTACAGGCTGTGAACCTTTTGCCTCCTCAAAGTCGTCGTGACAGGAAGGCCCCAAGTTTTGCCAGGTAAAATGGTGCACCATCTCCATTGGTTTGTCAGTTGATGATTAAAAACCTAAAGCTTAGGCCAGGTGCAGTGGCTCACGCTGTAATCCCAGCACTTTGGGAGGCCGAAGCAGGCAGATTGCTTGAGTCCAGGAGTTCAAGACCAGCCTGGGCAACATGGTGAAACCCCATCTTTACAAAAAAACCCACAAAAATTAGCTGGGTGTGGTGACGTGTGCCTGTGGTCACAGCTACATGGAAGGCTGAGGTGGGAGGATCGCTTGAGCCCAGGAGGCGGAGGTTGCAGTGAGCTAAGGTCACACTACTGCACTCCAGCCTGGATGACAGAGAGAGAACCTGTCTCAAAAAGAACAACAGCGGCAACAATAAACTAAAGCTTTATAGACCCAAGAGGAACCAGTGAGAGACTTTTCATTCTCTGCCTCAGCAGAACATCAAACCAAAAGATGGTGCAACTCTCACTTGACATGTGACAGAGAACAGAGTGAGCTCTCAGGCCTCCCCTGTAATGATTTAACAGCTATCCTGTTGGTTTAGATTGGGTCTTGGTATATTGCAGTGTATGCAACATAACCCCAAGCAGGTTATGAAATATAGAGAGCCCACTGGTTTTCCTGAGTCACAAAACCTCTTGAAAATCTTGACCAGATTTATAGCCGTATTCCCTAGGACACACACACACACACACACACACACACACACACAGTTTTACATTTAATTTCAGGAAGTTACAAGACGCCCCAAGCACATTTTAACCCCAAGTTAAGAACTTCTGGTATAATAATTATCTGGCTATTTGGCAAAAACAAACAAACTAACAAACCCAATCTGGATCCCCAGTTTCTTATTTAAATTCCTGATGAATCAGAGGTTTAAGTGTAAAGAGACAAGCCTTAGAGGAAAACATTAGTTAATAAGATTTATAATCTTAGAATGGGAAACACTTTTTGAAGCATGATTTAAAACCCAGAAGTGAAAATAAGGTAGTGAGATTGATTCCAAAAGATCTAAAATGTCTGTCCAGGAAAGAGGAAAAAAACTCTCCTGGTTTAGACTCTGAGGAGAAATTAATTGATCCTATCTTTTCCATCTATCTTCTTCCCAGTGGAATTGTGTGAGTGACCTATGGCCAGGCTCTATGGAA